TTTGGGTGGCTGGAGTGGGGAGAGAGGAGGAGTAAGCTGGTACCTTCTAAGAGCACTAGGTACTAGTGATAAAATACAGTAAGACTGGTTGTAGTATTTTAACTTCTGAACATTTGCAGTATGTTTGCTTAAAGCACTTGAAGCAGAAGGCAAATCCCTTTCTCTTGATTATTTGAAGTGTAGTACAAATATATAAATAGGAATACATTTATAAGTGAATATTTATTTTGTCTTATTAGGAAGAATATAGGCCCTCCAAGTCTGACACTATAGTTTCAATTTTATGATGGTAGAATATGTTTTTGACATTATTTAACAGAAGCTATAATACATCATCTTGTATCAATTAATTTCTATGGCATATTTTTGATCCACTCAAATGGAAAACCTTAAATTGGTGTCACTGAATATTGTAAGACAGAGAAATATTTAAATGTTCCATTTATCAGAACCAATATGTAAAATGTAACACATGAATTGTTTTTGTATAAGCAGGATGACATGCCCTAAAGCTATAATTGTGTTAGCAGTTTCTGGAATAACTAGCATGTTTAACATACCTGTACAGTATAAATATAAACTTGTGTAAGAGCAAGTTCCATTTCTGTCATCTTGCAAGCATTTTTCTTCTTCTCTCTCTTTGTAAATATAAAATTACTTTTTGTAATTTTCAGACATAATTTTCAGTGCAGCTTCTCATTACTGTTTCTCATTACTGTTGAGTTAAGAGTGCTGTGAAGAAAGTCTGTGGGGCACCTTTTTGCATTTTTAATATTCAGAGCACATACCAATTGGATCATGTGTTTAGATTAATTCAATCAGAAAAAATAATTTGAACTGTTCACAAGGATTACTTAAAATAGCACTGTTCAGTAATAATGAAAGAAATGCTCCATTGTTTTTTTGGCAGTGTTCACAGACATAAACCCTAAGGTTTCTCTTCTCCAGACTAAATAAGCTCAGTTCTCTCAGCCTCTCCTTCAAGTCACGTTCCCCTGCCCTCAGACCATTTTCATTGCCCTCCGCTGGACTCTCTCCAATTTATCCGCGTCCTTTCTATAGTGGGGGGCCCAAAACTGGACACGGTTCCTCATTAGTGTTGAATACAGGGGTGTAATCACCTCCTTTGATCTGCAGGCAACACTTCTACTAATGGATCCCACCTAGGATGCTGCTAGGCTTCTTTGCAACAAGGGCATATGATTGACTCATATTCAGCTTATTGTTCATTGTAATTCCCCAGGTCCTTTTCTGCAGGGCTGCTGCTTATCCAGCTTACTTCTTGTAAGCTTCTTTTCTGTGTTTTAGCTCGCTGAAGAGTTCTCTACTAAGATGCTGGTCTTCTGCCATACTCACTAGTCTTCCTGCGCATCAGGATGTTCACTTCTGTGCCCTTGGTAAGGTTTCTTTCAAGTACAATCAGCTTTTCTGGACTCCTTTTCCCCCTCAAACTGGCCTTCCAGGGGATCCTGCCCATCAGTTCCCTGAGTGGGTCAGAGTTTGCTTTTCTGAGGACCAGGTCCTTACTCTGCCCCCTTTTTAGGGCTTTTGTCAGACACAGGCAGCAATCACTCAGCTAGCAGCGCTCACCAGGTGCTCAAAGCACACACCCAAACATGCAGCCAGCCAAACAAAGGCTTGCCAAGCCAAACGTACAGACAGCCCTGGCTCACTTACCTTCCAGGAGCAGGATCTGGTGCCTGATGCCTGGCTCCTCTTCCTCTTTTTGCTCCCAGCAAATTGTCTGGAAACTGGCCTGTTTGCTTGCTTGTTTGTGCATTGCAAGTTTGAATGAAAAGGAGGTTATTTTTGAATCCTGAAAAACAGCCCACCTTTATCATTTTAAATAGAGGCTCACAATTTCTTCAGAAACTCTCAAGCATAATGGACAAGTAAGTCTTGATGATTCAAAGGCAAGGTTGGTTCCCCCACACTAGCAGGATAGGTAGCTGCATAAAATAGTACATTATTAAGATTTATAGAAAGTTAAGCAATAGCATTGATGACTGTGATGGAAGGGGCTGGGAGTTGCATAATATAGGTTTCCCTCGATTTATGCGGGTTCTTTCTATGCAAATTTGTTCTTATGCGATGAGCATATTTAGACCCATAACTCATTATATTCAAGGTAAATTTGCTCTTATGCGATCAGCATAGATGCCCCCCCCAACCAGATAAGTCTGTGGGGGGAGGGGAAAGGGCCATGGCCCCACTCACCCCAGCCCCAGTTGCAGTGGCTCCAGGAACAGCCGGCACCAGCTGCCTGCAGCCTCTGGGCTGCACTATACTCCCCCTGTACCCCCGTGCCTGGGCTCCAGGGTGAGTGCCATGCTCTGCCCTGCCTGGGGGTCAGCTTGTCCGCACTCACTGCTGCACCTAGGCTGTACCGTGCCCTGGTGCAGCCAGTTGGTGTCGGCTGCTCCCGAAGCCGTTCCAGCACGGGCTGCGGTGAGTGCGGACAAGTGGAGCCATGGATGGTGCAGGGCACGGCACTTACCTGGGCCCTGGAAGCAGCCAACACCAGCTGCCTATAGCAGCTGGGTTACACCATGCTCCAAACCCCCTGGGGCTCTGTGCTGGAGTGGCCCCAGGAGTGGCCAACACCAGCTGCTTGCAGCCGCTGGGCTGAACCATGCCGTGGTGTAGGCAGCTGGTGTCAGCTGCTCACGGGGTTGCTCCAGCACGAGCTGGGGTGAGTGCAGACAAGCGGAGTCCTGGGTGGCGCAGGGCATGGCACTCACCCCAGTCCCGGGAGCAGCCGACACCAGCTGCTACAGGGCACTGTGCAGCCCAGCAGCTGCAGGCAGCTGGTGTCGGCTACTCCCAGGTCCACTCCAGTATGGGCTGGGGTGAATGGGGACCAGCAGAGCCCCAGGGGTTTGAGGCACAGTGCAGCCCAGCTGCTACAGGCAGCTGGAGTCCACCGCTCTCAGGGCCGCTGCAGCCAGGGCTGGGGTGAGTGCCACTGTGTTCCCTCTGGTTTTCTGCCTTGTGCAGCCCCAGGAGTAGTACCCCTCCCCGCCTTCCCTTCCCTTCCCTGGTCCCTACCATGGGAACCTGTCCCTATTCATTACACGGTAAAGTGGGTTCACTTTATGCAAATTTGACTTATGCGCCGTTCTCCGGGAATGCATGTACCGCATAAATTGAGGGGAAACCTGTATACCATATTGGTATCAGTGGAAGTCATAGAGCTGATATCGTTTTGTTTTTTCTTTTAAAAAGGAAAATTAAACGAATTGGCACTGCTGCTTGCTAAACCAGAATAGTGGGTAATGAAAAAGCAGAGAGAGCATAATAAACCATCCATTTTTAAGAGATTTAATAAAATGCAAAAAGTAAGTAAGTGCTGTAGTATTTAGATAAGTAAGTAGTATTTTGATACAAGATTATGGGGAAAAATCAATTAGTTTTTTCTGTGGGAATGGACATCCCCAGGAACTGTCTTGATTTAAATGGAAACAGCTTCGAGAAGGGCAGTAAGTAGAGGTCATAGACAGATAGATATTTTAAAATCTGATTATCACCTTTTTATGCACGCAGAATTGCTGCTGGTCTCTCAACAGCATATTGAGACAGTATTATTAAAATAATATTGCCTGGAACTAATTCAAAACCTGATGAACCAAAAACTATGATTTAATCAATTTCCAAGTTAATTTACCCTATTTGCAAGACTGTCAATTAAGCTGAATTAAACAAAATGAAGAAATAGAGATTGCATGATGAAATTTGGGCGTAGTTTATCTTGAAAACTAACCTTGAAATCTTAAAATCTTAATCTTAAAATCTAATCTTGAAACCTTCTTTTTATTCAATACCATTTCAAATGGGCTTGATAAAACTGCCTTTGAGTTACAGCAGTATCAAGAGGTTTCCATTGGGCCATTGGAAAGCAGAACTAGGCTAGTGCAAAAGTAGCAGATGAAATCCAATTTTCTGCGTATTTACTCTGTCCTTAGTTAGACAAAAACTCCCATTGAAATTAGTCCAGAATAAGGTCAGAAAAAGGTCTGGAGGAATTTCAGGATATTTCTGATGCATAGGCATTTGGATGATGTCTGAGAAATAAGGCAAAGTCAAAGTGATAACTGAGCAACATAGTCATGATGACTCCCAACATGCTCTGCTTCTCTTTTTATTTGTATTTGCACAGCCATTGAATGCCTACATTAGACTGCATCTGATTTTAAAGGGCTTCTCAATATTCCATGAAAGCTGTGCAGTAAATTGGAATAGCTGGTCATGGACTCATTTTAGGGCAAGTGTGTTTTTATGAATAATGCAGTGCAATTAAATGTGCTCAGGAATGAAATATATGATGTCAATGCTTGAAGTATCTTAATTGCTCATTTTCTACACATGGGCCCTGATTCATAAGGTGTCTCATATTTCATGGTTCATGATCTTAGTGGGTTTTTTTTTTTTGTTTTAATTTTTACTCTTTCAAATCGAGTCTGTTACCTTAGCAGAAAAATGTTGTGGTTTAATATTCTAATTAGAGCTGACTGAAAAGTTCCTGTCAGACCTAACTATACGAAAAAATATATGTTAAGTACCTTTCCATTTGCAAATATGTTGCTGGATAAAGCAAAGTTGTAAAGAATGCATCAGACTTTAAGCACAGGCCTAGCCCTAGTGAATGTAGTCAGTGGACTGTTCATATGCTTAAAATTAGGCAAGCACCTCTACTGAATTGGAGGCTGTATATTTAGTGCTTATTAAAATCAAATAGTTACTTATTAAAATCTGAAGTAATGACTAGAAGCCACTTCTCCTAGTCAAATTGAATTTTACCTGCGGAAGGGTTATAGAGTGGTGCTCTGATAGGGTTATTAATGGAATTAATATGATACAATTTAATGAGCTGTGTCCTAGGTTGATTATCCTCTTTCTTTCTAAGGGATAGCAATCAGAGAGAAGCAGTCTACCAAAACTGTGACTAACATATGCCAGCTTTTTCTAGGACAATACAGTATAAATACTCACTAGACTGAGGAGCTGATAAATATCATGTGACAAGGACAGAAATGTAGTGGTGTCACTCATGCAAAGTAATGTTAACTTACTGAAGACAATATAAAGAGAACAGAGACTCAAAGGCAGGCAGGCATGTTACTGTTGTATCCAGTTTTTCCCCACTACACAGACAAGTATTAGGCTTTTGGAACTGGATTGAGGTCTGCCACCAAATTAAGTTGCTGGTAATGGTATGGTGGTTTATATGTCCATGTGAAAATAATGTGTAGAAAAAAACAAAGAACACTGTTCCAAACTGCTCAGTCTCAATGGGACAGAGATGGAAACACAATTAGGGAGCAGCAGCCAGACAAACACAGGAAGAAGGAAATGTTGGTGGGATCTACACCAGAAGCCTTTGCAGATGAAGGGGTCAGATGGCATTGGAGGCTTGATCCATTGTGCAGTGAAGTCACTGAGACTCTTCCAGTTGACTTCAGTGGATGTGAGTGAGCAGACCCTTAAAGGAGGGGGAACAAGAGAGAACGATGGGTTAAAAGGAAGCAGGAGCCCATTCCAGGTGTAAGGAGTTTCAGGGGAGAAATACTGAACACTTAGAGAAGAAGCGGTCTGCATTTTTGGGAGGCATGCCACATGTTTAAGTTAAAATGTGCCACAAGTTAAGCCCCATCTCCTCCCTGCTCTGCCACATGCTAAACACAGTGGCTGCTCATGCCACTTGTGGCATGCATGCTGGGGGTTGGCCACCCCCAAGTTAGAGGATCCAAATGTTTTTATTTATGTGATTTATATGCCATCCTTCTCAAAAAAGGCTTGGGGCAGTTTTACAGCAAGACAGAAATTTAAAAGGACAATTAGAATAAATAAAACAAGCCAGAGACCCACTAAACAACATCCTGGTCTAGTAGTGGTTGCTAAATGTCTGCCCAAACAGAAAAGTCTTGCAGTGCTTGTGTAACATGTCTAGTCTTGGGCTCTGGCAGGCCTCAAGAGGGAGGAGGTTCCAGAGCTGAGGAGTAATTGCTAGGAACGACCTCCTGTGTGTTTTCCCCAAGTGGCCTTGGTCTGTTAATGGTATGTTAGGAGGCTGCTCTCCTTAGGGACCTTAGGATTGCAGTAGGGGCATAGGAAAGAAAGTGGTCCTCTAGAATGTTAGGTCCCAAACCATTTAGGGCTTTGTAGGTCAAAAGCTAGCATCTTCAGTTATGCCCAGAAAGCTACTGGGAGCCAGTGCGGATACTGGAGGACTCAAGTAATGTGCTTTTGGGGACCCACCCTGTCAGAAGGTAGGTTGCTACATTCTACACCAGATACAGCCTTCAGATGGTTTTCAAGGGTAGTCCATGTAGATCTCACTGAAGTCTAGATTTGAGGTCACAAAGACATGGATGATGGTGGCCAGATCAGAATCTGAAACAAAGGGTCGCAACCTTTTCATTACTTAAAGTTGATTAAAGGTGCTCCTAGTCATGGCTGTAATTTAAATATCCAGGTGCAGCAGATTATCCAGGGGCACACCCAGGCTGCAAACCTGAATGACAAAGGGTGGCTGAACCCCACCAATGATAGGTATCATAGTCTTTCCCCCATCACATGGTCTGCCCGTCACAGTCACCTGTCTTGTCTGGATTCCATGCCATGACACATCGTGACACAGTTGATCTACTTCAGTTGGTGGTGTCCATTTCTGACACTACAGGACTTGGATCAGAAGAGGGGAGGTAGAGCTGGGTGTCATCAGCATACTGATGGCTAGGGCTGTGCGAAGCTTCTGGTGCTGATTTGATTCAGAGGAGATTTGGCCCAATTCGGTGGTTGAATTTCTGAATTCAAATTGAATTGGGGGACCAATGAAAAGGTCTGAATCAATTCGAAGCTCTCTGAATCTTCAGAAAAGGTTTGGAGAGTTTCAGTGATTCGGGCAGTCCCCGCCCACTGCAGCAGGGGGCTGAAGCTGGACTCCATGCTGGTAAGTGGAGGGGGAGAGGACCATGGTGGGGCCCCCTGCCTGCTGCCCCGCCCCGGCTGCCAGTGCTTTTAAAAAAAAGCCCCTCACCGGGTGCTGCCAGGTGTGGGGGGCGATCTCCGCTGCCCCCCCACTGCCCCATGCCATGTGGGGAGTTCTGTCATGAACCCACTGACCCCCCACTGCTGTCTCAGCCCCTTCCATGGCTGCCCCGCCTGCTCCAGCTTAGGCCCTTTGAGGAAAAAAAAAAATGAACCCCCCGGACTCACCAGCTTCTGCAGCAGTCTTGGGGCTTTGTGGGGCTCATGGAAGAGCCCCCCCACGTGGTGCAGAGCAGTGGGGGGCAGCAGAGATTGCCCCCCTGCTGGGTGGGAACCAGTAAGTCCAGGGTTTTTTGGGTTTTTTTTCTTTAAAGGGCTGGGAGCTGGGGTGGGAACGGCAGCCATGGTGGGGCTGGGACAGCAGGCGGGAGTCGGGGGGCTTGTGGAAGAGCCCCCCCATGCAGTGGGGGGGCATCGGAAATCGCCC